CTCCGCTCGATATGGATGGCAGCAGCCCCATTAATATCACACACCTCCCCCCCAGCAACATTCAATTGTCATCCTCAGTTTGACTTTCAGTACCGACAATGAATATTCCATAATTCTGGACGTCATCCAAATATTAAACCACACAGACGTATGAGACTGAGGACGTCTTAGAGAGATGAAGTCTTCGAGATGAAGACGAATGTGTTCTAGGATGTTGGGCCGTGTAGTCTAGTAGAAAATGAGCGACGTTTCAGAAATGCTCACTGCTTATATCAAGGCGACGAAGGTGAAACGTCGGTAAACTTCTATCAAATTACACGGCACAATCTCCCAGAAGACAGTCACCATCTTCAGATGGTTTAATTGGCATGCAGTTTCGTTGTATGAACTCTTACTTTATGCGGATTATGCATGGTGAAATTTAAAGGACTGAACAAAACAGACAGACAGACAGATGGATTCAGTGATATATTTTCAATACGTCCTCACCAAAAGCCAGAATGTCCGTATATTTCTTTCCCAACATTATAACCCATCGTAAGCTACCTACTTTTACAACACGGCATTAATCCGAACGATGTAACTCAATGATGCAGCGTCCTTCTTGAAAAGCTGAAAGTACGCTCAGCTATCAAATTAATTAATGCATCCAAACAATGAACACAACCAGCTGAAGAAACAAATTTATCTGAATGATAGCTTCACGTAGGAACACCTGGCTGGAACCAGGGTAGAAATGACGGGACACTAAATCAGCAAGTGGTTTGCTCCATGTGTCCACTTCCATCCCGGATAATGGATGGGGCCACCGGACAGCACATCCATCACTGCCACCGGTCACACCAGAAGACGAAATGCACTTGGAGTATATTTTCTTGTGGGTATCTTTTTACGTCTTTCAAACCTCACAGACAGTTAACGTACGTAACACAAGAGACCTCAAGTGTTGTTTGCCTCTGCCTCAAGTGCCAGGAAGTGAAGTCGTTGTTATTCTTTATCGAAGATTGCACCGAATGCTACAGCGTAATGCTTTCTTATACGGGATATCCTAAATTCGAAACACGCTGTCCTTAATGAGATCTATTATAGTTATCTTCAGTTTCTCCAGCAAAGTTTTCGTCATTACCTTTATGCAGATCACTAACTGTCTGTGGATGAGTCAATTACAATTACATCTCGCTAAATGTAGATACGAAATTTCTAACAAATTATTTTATATACTCATTTACATAATCAGTATTTGTAAATATTTCATCTGCGTATCTGTTAGATTCTTACACCTCATAAAGGAGTTAATTATTATGTTGTAAATAAATGTGTTTCGCCAATATAATCGTATTCGATTTATAGAACCCATCCCTAACCACAAAGCGAGATCATCTCACATAACGGAGGATGAGATGGGCAGGGCATGCAGCACGCATGGGGAGGTGTGAAATGTGTACAACATTTTGGAGGGAATTACTGAACGGAGGACAGAAGTCGACAGCCCTAAGCGCAGAAGGGAGGATAATATTAAAAAGTACCTTAGGGAAATAAGGTTTAAAGGTTAATTCATGTTGTTATATAAGAGACGGGAATTTTTATTTTCTTACATAGAACTGACCAGGGGATGGTCAATTTTGTTGAATTAGTTCATGAGTAAGAACAGGTCAGACGCCACTGTCTTAAAAGATAAACGTTATATAAATATAATAAAGTTCTGGAGTCAGAAGAATAAGTGGGACATAAATGAATTCTTTCAGTTGGTAGATATTTCATCTTCTTTAAAAAGATTTCCGCCATCGCTAACGCAATTTAAAGCGACAAGGATATACACACGCCAGCCAAGGACTGCGACGTCTGCCTAGCCTTCTATAATTCAAGTTTCTCTTCGTAAATAACAGTTAATTAGCACATAACTTGGGTAATGAGAGATGCAGAACCGGGACAGAGGCGAGGACTTCAGAAACCACTAATTCCAAGGCTTTATGGTTTGTTGACAACAGAGTTCTATTTGACTATCCTTAGTGTTAACGCATTGGTGACTAACTCAATTAACTTAATGAAACAAAGTCCTTTAAATAGTACCGGTCAATATATATATCCCGCTTTTTACAGGACCCAAAAGTCCACCGCCTTGTAAACAAAATATCTCGCTAGTGAAGTATGTACCGGGAAACAATAACAGAGAGAGAGAGAGTCACAGATTATCGGATACTATTTCGATAAGGACATTTTAATATTATCCTCCCATGTATTCCTGGAAGATTGCCAACTTTTACCCCACTTGTGTAATTTACCTAATGTTTAAAATCCTACCTGTATGTCCCGAGCAGTAAACACCACAGTCACAATAAAATACCGTGTAGTCACTAATTTTCTAAAATTTCAGATTCTAAAGAACGGAAATAATGTTTGTCTGTAACTGGGTTCAAGGGGTCCTCCAATTCCCTCGGCCTTCAGCGCGGGATAATTTTAAGCTTATTTCCGAAAAAAAATGAATAACGATCTGTACAGAACTTATACACCGTACGTAGGCCACAATAAGCCGATATAATGGGTTCGAATCCAGCACAGAAATTGCACATATATGGACACTTTTAGGTGTTTGAAAAGTAAATTAAAACAACTGATAATCTTGTGTATTGCAGCCCGAAATTAACAGCGGCACAGTACAAGACCACTTTAGATTAAACTCTGTATAGTTTACTTATATAAAAATGTAGAGATATTTTGATTTTCGTTTATTTAATTTCATTTCAACACGGGCTCTTGCGTATTTATAACTATGTTGCGTGTTTATTAATCCAATCGAATTGTATTAAACTGCTAACGTCAATAAATATTTTTAATAAGAGTTGCGTAACTTTTCGACCAGCTTGTACGTTTTTTGAACCTGTGGTAGCTTCAACAACCTTCGGGACAGATTTCAAAAAACTGCTTTATCGTCCTGTTTGAACAGATTAACAAACTCATGAAACGGTACTGAGAAATGTTCGCACAAAAATTTAATTTTCAAATACAGTCCATACCGAGGTCCCACATATATACTGTTAGTGTTGTACTCGTCAAATACGTACCTAGGATGTTACACTGTTACAAAATTAGATCAATTTTAATGAAGGTTCAGAGCAGTGTTAGTCAGCTGCTGCAGACGTGTTTTGTTTAAAAGGGGTTAATCGAATAAAAGAATTACTGTAACAAAGCCAAAACACAGAACCTACTTTCAGTTTTTTCGACTGAATGAACAGCTGGCAATGTTTTATACGTAGGAGATACGAGCAACCCTTCGGTGAAACAGGTTGACAGGACATATAATCTTTTCTAATTACTTTACAATTAATAATAAATGAACTGATAATAAAGGAACTAATTATGAGCATCTAAAGTAAAGCTGATTCTTGAATCCGTTATAACCTACGGGTGCCATGAAAAGCGATCAGTTTCTGAGAGCACTATGTTCACAATAACATTTTTACTCCACAGAATTAGCATGTTTAAAACAAACACAGATAGAAACTTAACAGTGCAGCTTACCATCTGGTGCACGCATCTGTGGGACAGGTACCATGCTTTTCGTTGAGGATGCACTTGTTCCAGAGTGCGGATTATTGCACTTAAATCTAAAACAGAAATATACACTAATCGTTACATTTATTCTGGAAATTTAAGATGCGTTTGCAGGGTTCTGCTATGTCCGAGATAAAGTAAAATTATCCTAAACGTTTCTGAATGCGAAGCTTGTAACAGGGAAGGTCAACGTTCCGGATTCTGGGGGCTAAAATGTCTTGTTGGGGCAGAGGACGAGTGAACGCAGTATTCTGAATTACCATAGATGGCGTCTATGTTTATGAAAGAGCACAGTATTTAAAATTGTGGATATGTATACATATATTTACAAATTTGTATACCTAATACATATGAAAAAGAGAACTGCTCTACAATTATTTTAAAATACCAGTCCAGATTTAAATTTTACTTTAGCAACGGATGATATAAATTTTATAAAATAGTGGCAACTATCAAAAGTAACCAAATCATTTACTTTTACTGACACAACGAGATGCTGAAAAGAAAATATATTTCAGATTTGCGCTGTGAGGGAGAAGAGATACGAACCAAAACAGACGAAAAGCCGAAAGCTGTCGCAAGAAATCAGAATATCATGTTTCTGTCCAAAGAAATTTCTGTGTACGCTCATATTGTTATAACGCAGAGATTTATAATTAAATTGAAATCCATCTTTATTAATTACAAGTACTAAATAAGATTCCACCTGATACAGAAATGATAAAAGCACGTAGACGGATGGACTCTTAAATGTCGTATAAGTTACCAGATACCCTGCTTCTATATTAATTTATGTTATCGCGACAAAATTTACTTGTATCTACACACCCACACAATAACAATATCTCAGTGTGTGTGTTACTGTGTAGCGTAGTTCACGAGGTACGAAGGCAGCACCAGTGTGTGAAATACACGTCACATGAAATGTCTGTACCAAGGTCTAATTGCTGTCCTACATTAAATGTTGCTAACGAGCTTGTTACCTTCGCTTATTGCACTTCAACTTCACCCAATAAAGGCACCTTTGAACTTTTGACCTAATTTCCTTCTACGTAAGTTAATAAAATCAGCAAGTAATATTTGCAACTCTCACAATGTTGTAACAAAAGCCCTGTGAACATCTTTAAGTCCTATCCAATGACGGGAACCACTGATGAATGTATCGACCCTTAATTTTAAAACAAACTTTTTTTTCTTCTCCCTTATCTCGTTCTTTTTCTATTTTTTTGAAGGGAGGAAGAGGGTAAGTCGAGTATCTTAATCCCACACAGCTTATCCAGTCTCCATGGATGATTAATGGTTGGATTTACAGTTGTTTTAGTGAGAGGGATACAGCTCTAGGCACTCGTATCTCGAAAAACGATGTATCGATAATTGAAGTTGAACACGAGGGACGAGAATATTGCGATTTCTCGTTCCGACATCTCATCACACAGGAATACTAACCTAACGTACAGTACTTGCTTCATCCTGTGTATCTCTACTCAACATGTAAAATGTACTACTAATACCGCGTGGTGCATCTGGCTTTAGATTAAGAACGCCAGCATTATCTTACTGACTTATGCTTCCACGACATCTACGAACAGCACATTCTCCTCATGTCTTCTCGGAGTGAGCTGCAATGGAATTACGTTTCGTCAAACACAAGGAAATTACAAATGACTGAAATTATGATGCTAACTGTACGTTTACACCACTTTCGGTTCTTCCGATTAATTTTTGTCGCACAGACTGTACACGGAAGACGATAAGAGTCCTCGGAGAAACCAATGTTTCAGTCTATCCGTGAATACCAGAGCGCCGGCCGACCACGCAATGCAAGCACGACCGCAGCCTCATAAATTGTAGACCCGGTATTATAGACACCGTAGGTTCATGTGACATGGGGATTACCCGAGCAACTGTTTGTACAAAAGGTGGAGCTACAACGTTTTCAAAGAGTTTCCACAAGAACTGCAAATAAGGTGAGAGGCTCTTCAGTCTGCAGATTCGATCCACAAGATAAGAATGATGGCAGTAAAATTTTCTGCTCTCAATTTGTGTGAATGAGGAGATACTACATTTACCCACTGCAAATAAGACAGGGTGCCTGCATTAACAATTTACAATCCTCTGGGCGAGATATATCTCAATGATGCCCCTACTAGTGCAATCTTAAAATTTTGTAAACCCCTCATACCTCCTCTTGACAGAACTAAGAAGCTTCCTGACAGATCCCCCCACAATTTAATACCACAATTAACGTCTCTAACAGATCACATCAACTCAAATCTTCTCGTTCTTCAAAGTGGCCGGTTTCATAACGATTTCTCCACCAAAATTAAGGTAAGGTGATTTATGACAGTCTAGCCTGATCGGATAAACCACAGTCTCCCTATAAAATGTTCACCATAACCTCCCTTTAAATAATATTACTAGAGAAAAATTATGTCGTGTGTTTTCGAACTATTCTGAAACATTCACATACGTCAAGCGGCTAGAAGATTAGCTGAGCTTCTAGAATTTTCGTTCTGAATTCACTCAGCCTTTAAAAAAATAGACGACGTACGTCCACGAATAACCTTTGCATTTCCTCCAAGTTATATGAAGCGAAGCTGATCTCACGGACCCAGTTTTTTCTGTATGATACTGGAAAACCTGGAAATTGACTGTGCAAATTTAAATTTGATTACTTTATTTTATTTCTTTGGTTACTTCCTACGTCAGAGTAACTGTAGAGGTTTTGTAACATCGTTTTTTACAAATACCTTTATACGAATTACGGGCCTTGGCCGAAGGTTGAGAGATGCGGTAGTGGTTTATTTTGTAACCCCGTTCTACGTCAAAATTCGTGGCACAAAAAACTAAAATTCCGGTTTCCGGCCACGACTCAAATTAGGTACCCCCGAAATCCAGACACAGGCGTAACTGTTGAACTAACAATCTTCATATTTGTTACTGTTATGTTGCGATGATGTAACTAAAATGACAGCTAATTTTATTGCAGTAATATAAATATGTAATGAATTTCATTTACGTAAGACTCAAAACGATGATAAAAATAAAATTTAATGCCTTCCCAACTAGCACAAGATACGACATTACTTAATGAGCGACCCTCGTATATCCGAAAGGTACACATTAAATAACATTTTTTAAACATTGTATTTCCTCGATTATGAGACTTATCACAACTGAAAATTTCTCAGATCGGGGTGCATCTTACATTTTATGGCGTCTTAAAATCGAGGAAATAAGATATATATTTCTTTACTTATTTTCTTCACGACTTGTATATCGGTTAATAAACTGAAATGGAACGAACATGGAGATTATGCGAAACTCGGGTGGTATCACACAAATTGAAAGCAGACAAAACCTGCATACACCATTTCTTAAAAATAATACAATAATATTCCCTAAACTCTTAAAAGTACCATGAAACTGCGAGTAATAATAATACTAATGAAAACATGCAAACGAGTCCAGAACATGAACTCACGAGCTGGTGAAGGTCATTCAAAGAACAATGATTCCAATCGATCATAACTGACAATTTGAATTTAATTCTGCTAAATTCATTACTCACTCTTATCTGCACAGGCACTGAGCACATAACAGTTACCTATTAATTCTGTAAGGCTGTTATCAGATCAAGCATTCTAAAGCCTAAATCGCTAAATGACTTAACCTGAACGCTATACCGAAGCATTAAAATTGCCAAGACGCAAAGAGAGCACGTGAAAACTTTACCGCCAATGTGTGTGTTCGACGTCCGTTACACGTAAAAGACATTTTAATCAGAGGGCTGGAAGGAACAGTAAATAAGGACGAATGCACTTCTCCATTTTGATTCCCATGTCGTCTGTCTTCGGATTACGTAACAAATATTTAAATAAACAATTCGCTCCTTAATCATTGCGAATCGAACACTGTGTCCATGTGAGATTCATGACTGGAAATGGCTTTAGAAAAAACGATACAGAAGTATTGACGTAAAGTCACAGGGAATTCTGTATTCGCACTGCCTCTTCTGTAATGACATATCAACATGTCTCACGGACATGTGCTTTATTTGCATTAGCGCCATGGCAGTGTGTCCGTTCTACGTAACATCCGCAAGAATGCATCGTCCAATGGAATCTCTTACTTCAGAGACTATAACATTCAAGTCACAATGCCTCGGAAAGACAAAAATAAGAAACATTCCTTTTTTACCCAGAGGTGTCCGTGCCTCGTGTTCTGACCATAAGAATTTGTAATATGTCTAAGTTGCATGCTTTAAGGATTTTCCACGGGAATGGAAGGTAAAGGTTTTGACAGGAACCCGAGGCGGAGTCTACACCGGATTAAGGCGAAACAAGGGCAAAAGAAAAATGAAACTACTGGCAATTTATGGAAGTACAGTCGTGCTCAAAGATATGAACACATTGCCAAAAACATGTACAGGTCTGAAACCTTAAACACAAGACCACAACCACTGTTCTAAGTTCACCCCACGGTCTAGGGGTCAGATTACAAAGACCTAGGTCAACTTCTAGAAAGTTACACGCGATTCTACGGTTACTGTGAAATCTATAATCAAGACCACCTCTGTTTCAAGACCACTCGCATTAATGACCCTCTAGTCACGGAATCACCGCCTCCAGTTCGGTTTTACACGGGAACATTTAATAGGAGACCGCCAAAATTTGTAAATGTACTATTACATAGCACGCCTCAAGTTCAGAAGCACATTTCATTGTCCCGAAGCTCAGCATATTAATATATTTTTGGGTTGATTATGTTTTTTTTTCTTCAAACAAACGCTTCGAGCTATTTAGATGGACCAGGAGTGAGTAGTTATATTTTTCCCCAGACGTATTAATGTGACCTTCCTTCCATTCAAGATATCAAAAACCTATTCTGCGTGAGTACACATTATCATATTTCTCCGTTTATTAATACTTGGTAATTTATTTAATTAAAATAATTTGTACCAGACAAAATAAAAATATGACTATCTTTTGGCTTGCGGACTGAACAAGGATTTCAGTTTCTAAAATCGGCCATAATGAAAGAGTTTCTCTCA